TATAGGGAGCTCCACCTCAGGTCCCAGTGGCACCGTCCGCATGGCGGCGCCGCCCCATTTTGGGACACCCCTCACACGCTTCGTGGCCCCATAGGGAGCTCCACCTAAGGTACCAGTGGCGCAGTCCGCGTGGCGGCGCCGCCGTATTGTGGCACACCCCGCACGCCCCATAGGGAGCTCCACCTAAGGTCCCAGTTCCCAGTGGCGCAGTCCGCATGGCGGCGCCGCCCCATTTTGGCACACCCCTCACACGTTTCGTGGCCCCATAGTGGGCTCCACCTAAGGTCCCAGTGGCAACGCCCACATGGCGTCCCCGCCCCATTTCGGCACATCCCTCACACGTTTTGTAGCCCCATAAAGGGGGCTCTACATCAGGCCCCAGTAGCAGGGCCCACATGGCGGCCCCGACCCATTTCGGCACACTCTTCACGCGCTTCGTGATACTAACAACGACGGTATTCACAACTGCATATGGTTGGGTCCTTCGCCAGGCTAATATTTTCGAGAGATGGATGATCCACGGTGCTTCTCGATGTTCCTCGCCGAGAAGAAATGCACACGTCCGAGCGATGCTTGTGCTGGTGAGCGTGTTCTTATTCGGCGTTTCAACATTGGGCGGAAAGGGGGGGAGGGGAGGGTCTGGCTCCGGACCTCTGCCTAGTGCGACTGTTTGCAACAGTGCGTCCTTTGGGGGAAGAACTCCCCCTGCTCGAAACAGGCGCCAAAAACAGTAAGGATCTACTCCATGGGGGGGGAGGGGGGGTACGAGGGCCCGCGCCCATCGGCGAAACAAAGAATAAGAGAACGATCACCTGGGCGTCTTGGAGGCAGGCCTTCTGGGAAGGGCTTCCGCGGCCCCTCCGCTCTGCCCCTAGTGGGCCCCGCTTGGGGTTCTCTTGGGATCTCTCCTTGGCCCTCCAGGGGGGCCTTCACAAGCCGTCTCGGGGCCGTCTGCTTGGGCCGATTTGGAGGCCTCTTGGGCCGTCTTGGGGCGATCTTGGGGAGCTCTGGTATATGAGGCATGCTTGAACACCAGAGTGGTCATGAAATGACTTCGACATGCGCCCGTGGGGACGCGCGCGTGTGGTCTGCATTGCATCATTTGATAGAGTTGGCGGGTGCGCGATGACTGTGAAATGATTTTGGCATGCGTTCGCGGGGATGCATGCGCGTGGCCCGCATGGTGCTATCTAACAGAGTCGGCGGCGGTGCGCGATGACTGTTGAATGGTTTCGACATGCGCACGCGCGTTGCCCGCATCGTCTCACTTGACAGAGTGGCAAAGCAAACGCGATGATGCCTTATCATTTCAGCTAGTGCGCGCGAATTGGTTTTGAAAATGAAAGGTGGCGGATGGTTGTTGGTTGTAAAAGCATGTGTGCACCATTGGTTCTGGCAAGACGTTGACATGTGCGTGCGCGTGGCCCACATGGTGCCATTCGATATGGATTAACTGACACTGCACTTGCGAAATCCGCCGACCCCTCGTGGGTCTCTAGGCGTGTGAGATTCTCCCCCTCCCTAATCCCCCCCCAGGGACACCCACACCGGCAATTCGACCCCCCCCCCTGGCCAGGGACGACCCCGGACCGAACGCGTCATGGGGGAGCGGAGGACTCCAAAACAGGCTCAGAAGGCACCAAAACGCTCCCCAGACGGTCCCAGAGGGCAACGAGTCGCCGAAATATCTCTCCTTGACGCCCACGATGGCCTCCAGACGGCCTCCGAAGCTGCCAAGACGCCCCAAAAGGCCCAAGATGCATCCCAAGAGGGTCCCAAGAAACAAAAATCGTCCCATTCCCTTTGAAAAAACAGCGTTTTTCGTATACTCGCCTTTTCGGCCTTCACAACGTCCAAGACGGGCACAGAAACCTTCAATATCGCCCCTGGACGGCCGAAGGGGTCCCCAAGAGGGGTCGAAGAGGGTCCAAAACAGCCCACGAAGCCCCCAAGACAGCCCAAGAGGGCCCCCAGACGGCTCCAAGAGGGAGTCCAGGGGGCACCTTTTCGAGCCTTCGGCCCCAAGACGCCCCCAGCCTGACCCAAGAACACCCCAAGAGGCCTTGAGGGACCCCCAAGAGAACCTCAAAGGACTCCAAGAAGCCCCCAGGAAGCCCCCAAGAGGCCCCCGAGAGCCCCCAAGGAAGCCCAGACGCGATGAAAATCTCAGGGGTGCGCCCTCAGGAGCTAGGGGGACGTGTGCGACGATGTTCGGCCCTTTGGGCCCTCGACAAGCCCCGGGACCGTCAAACAACGACTCGACATCCTAACCAGGCCCTACGAAAAATCCGCCATCGTGCCTGCACGACGTGGGCGTGTTGAAATGCCAAGTGCTGCTCTGTAGCGCGTTCTAATTCGGACCCCTTCCCCACCCCTGCTACCAGACTAGCCCATGCCATGCCCCCTGTCCCCGAGGCCACGAGCCCTCGCATTTTGTGAACATGGGAGCCGCACTCCCGAGGCCACGGTCCCTCGTTGGAAGTTTGTGCGTCCGCGTCCCGAGCTTCCAAGACAGCCCAGGCAGGCAACCAAGGCAACCAAGATGGCCCAAGCCTCGAGGCGGCCGGATGTGGCCTGCAGACAGGCCAAAAAGCCACCAAAAGGGCACAGAAGAGCACCAAGAGGTACGATAACAGCAACGAAGCAACAAAAACGATGTCGAGCGCCGTGTCATGATTCCGACAAGCCTCGTGAAATGCAGTCCAGGAGGCGCAGTAGTTTATGTAGGGGTCGGCGGATGTGGCGCAAGCCTATATAATCAAAGCGAGTGCTCCGAATCTCGTTATTTTACCGGGAGGAGGGAGGTGTCCGCGAGCTGACTGGCGGGAACTACTCTGCAAGATTGACATCGGCACGAACAACACGGACGGACACATTATATGCGGAGAGGGGCGCCAGCCGCGGCCTCCAGGCAGGGGATAGATCCGATTCCTCGTAGGAGAGAAGGTAAACAGCGTGATCCAGCGTGGTGTATCATATTTGTGTGGTGAATTATTCGTTTTAGGTGGCGCAATCTGCAAACTATGTAGTGCCAGCTACATACTGTAGGCTGGCCTCTGCAGTACTTGTGGCAGAATATATGTGGCTCGAATTATGTCGTGCAGTCTCTGTGGTGTAATCTTCGCGTGCAAGTGATGGGCAGCAGATAACCCCACCAGCCCTCTGGGCGGAGGTGGTCCAGGGCATCTCCTCTCCCATCTTCTGAATCAAACCCTTCTCCCTACCCTCTCCCCTGGAGTCTGGCCCCCCCCCCCTCCACCAGACCCTCCCCCCCTCCACGCCCCTCTCCACTCTCCCCTCCAGGTCCCCCTCCAAGCCCCCTGGGGCCTGTCGGGGCCCTCTTGAAGACCTCTTAGGGCCCTCTTGGGCCGTCTCGGAAAACTCTTGGGCCACCTTGGGGCGATCTTGGACGTCCTCGGGCGCCCTTGAGCCGTCTCGGGACCACCGTGGACCGTCTTGAGGCCCTCGCGGGCCCCCTGGGCTGTCGCGGGACCCTCTTTCTCTCATGCTTTTCCAAGACGGCTCCGCTCGACACGCCATCCTTGCAACACGCAAGAGGCAGGACGCCAGTGCGGCTCCATCCCCGCCCAGCATGCGGTAGGAGCGCACTCGCTGCGGTGTCCACCGGCGGGTGGCCACCAACCAGGAAAAAGCCTGCGGGCCAGATGTTCTCCTGCATTGGCACTGCAGCGCGAGTCGCGAGCAACTGACAAACCAGAATTACTGCTCCCGAGCCGCGCCCCAGCCGCCGCAGGCGTCAGGATGGGGAAGAGAAGACACGTTCTGGCCATGCCCGAGGGGCCGAGCTACACACCCAACAGCGCGAGCACACCCCGGATCAGGCACCGCAGCCCCTGACCATGGGGAAGGGAAGGAGAGGGGCACAGGAAGGAGGGGGGAATAGCCCCGAGGCTCAGTGAACTTGACTGGCGCCCAGGAGCGCGGAAAACAAAAACAGCACTGTCGCGAGCAGATCGAAAATGCACCATCGTCGGCTGGCAGAGGATGAGGTAGTCTCGCGTCTACGCATCCTCGAACGACGCTGCGACGCTCCCATGGACTCCTCGCCGTGCCGACACGGCAGAGAAGGAGCCATCCGCTCTCTGGGAGGTCGGTGTAAAGAACATCGCCTATCGAAGCTATCGACGTCAAGACTAGTTAACTATCGAGGTTGATCGAAGTTAAAGCTGATGAAGTCTTTTGACAGAACTATCGAAGCCGTGTGCGGCTGGTTCGTCCACTAAGCCGGCGCGGAAAACGGCAAAAACCAGAGTGTCGTGTGCTGACGAACTTGCTAAATCAGGAAGGCTGGTTCGTCGGGCGCTGGGGCCTCCTCCAGAAGGCGGCGATCTGGCTCGCACAACCTCCAACCGCGCCTCGTCACGGAGAAGTCGGATGACCAGAAGATACTGGATGACGGTGTGAACCCAGACGGACGGCGGCGCCTGCCGCTAAAGGTCTTCCAGCCGTCGACGAGGAGGTAGTCGAAGTACGACTCCACATTGAAGTACTCCACGACTATCGGTGCTGCGTTCGCCGCGTTGATCTCGATCGTGCAAGCCTGGCTGTTGCTGTAGTACTGAGGATAGTTCGGGCTCTGCACACAGGCGCCGTCCATCGTGCACGGTCCTGAGATGGCCCCCCACATGCTCCCGGAACCGGGCGTCGGCGCAGCGGTTGGCGAAGGAGTGGGCGCAAGAGTCGGCGCAGCTGTCGGTGCGGGAGTCGGCGCAGAGGTCGGTGCAGGCGTTGGTGCTGTTGTCGGAGGGGGTGCAGGTGTTGACACTGGTACGCAAAATTTCCATCCACTCCTCGTAACGCTGAAATCGGACGACCACACGATACTGGATGACGGTGTGAATCCAGACGGACCCGAACTTCCGCTGTAATATTCCCATCCGTCGATAACGATGTAGTCGAAGTACCATTCTACATTGAAAGCCTCCACGACGATCGGTGCTGCGTTCTCCGCGTCGATCTCAATCGTGCACGCCTCGTTGTTATTGTAAGCCTGCGGATAGTTCGCGCTCTGCACACAGGCGCCGTCCAACGTGCACGGGCCCGAAATGGCCGCCCACATGTGCACAGAACTGGGCGTCGGCGCAGCGGTCGGCGAAGAAGACGGCGCAAGAGTCGGCGCAGCTGTTGGTGCAGCCGTTGGGGAAGCGGTCGGTGCCTCCGTCGGTGCAGTCGTCGGTGCTGCTGTCGGGGAAGCGGTCGGTGCTGCTGTCGGCCCGGCTGTCGGTGCAGCTGATGGGGAAAAGGTCGGTGCCTCCGTCGGTGCTGCTGTCGGCACGGCTGTCGGTGCAACTGATGGGGAAGCGGTCGGCGCCGCCGTCGGTGCTGCAGTCGGCGCGGCTGTCGGTGCAACTGTTGGGGAAGCGGTCGGTGCTTCCGTGGGTACTGCAGTCGGCACACCCGGCTCAACAGTCGGCGCCTCCGTCGGCACAGCAGTCGGTGCTGCTGTTGGGGAAGCGGTCGGCGATGCTGTCGGCACGGCTGTCGGTGCTGCCGTTGGGGACGCGGTCGGTGCCTCCGTCGGTGCTGCACTCGGCACAGCTGTCGGAGCGGCCGTTGGGGAAGCGGTCGGTGCAGCTGTCGGTGCTGCGCTCGGCGCAGCTGTCGGTGCAGCCGTTGGGGAAGCGGTCGGTGCAGCTGTAGGTGCTGCACTCGGCGCGGCTGTCGGTGCATCTGTAGGGGATGCGGTTGGCGCCATCGTGGCGCTGCCGTCGGCACAGCAGTCGGTGCTGCTGTTGGGGAAACGGTCGGCGCAGCTGTCGGCGCAGCCGTCGGTGCGGGCGATGGCGTCGGGGGCACCGTCCAGTCCCCCATCACCCCGTCCATCCACTCGCGTCCATAAGTGATCCGACTCCAAACTCCAGGGAAATTTTCCACGCCACAAGAAGCAGCTCCCCACGACACGACGCCGTGAAGGAAGTAGCTGCCGCCTGATTCGCAGACAATCGGCCCTCCGCTGTCTCCCTGACAGATATCGGTTACCTCCCCAGCGTTTGAGCCCTGCGCGCACAGCATGTCATCGGTGATCGTCATCCCTGAGAGGCCCCAGTAAGACTGGCAGTCTGCATTGGTCCAGGTGGTGACAGCGCCCTCCTGCAGCACGTCAGGGATGCTGCCTCCGGCGACCTTCCCCCACCCAGTGGCCCAGCACTCTTCACCAGCACCGATGTCCTCCGACGGCAGGCAGGCAAGGCCGATATTGTCGCTCAAGGGCGCCGCCTCGGCCAACTCCAGGAGGACAAAATCGTAGCCCTGATCCCAATAGACGTAGTTTGGATGAGTGTGCATCTGCTGCACCTCCAGTCGCACCCCCACCGAATCCGACTGGGACAGTTGGTGAAGGCCCGCCACGACCCAGAACGAGGAACGAGGAAAGCAATGGGCAGCCGTCAAGACCCAGTTCGGGGCGATGAGCGTTCCTCCGCAGAAGTGCCCACTAGAGGTCTGGAGGGAGACCTGCCACGGCCACTCTCCACTTGTGGCTTGCTGCCCCCCCACGATGCGCTGGCTGCGCGATGTCCAAGGAGTGCTGTCGGCACCCTTCGCACCACAAGTCGATGCCGCACCGAGCTGAGCCATCGCTATGCAAGTGAATGCCGCGGAGGCCACTTTCATTGTGCCGCCAGGTGTAATCTGCCGGCGGTACCGGTGTAAACCTTCCGCGGAGCTCGCCTGAGCCAGCGCGCCGAATGGAGAGATGTTGCTTGAGCCACAGTGGTTGCAAATCTTTCAGGTGGACCCTCTTGGAGCTTCTTCATGCTCCGGGGAGGCCCCAAAAGCGGGCTTACTCTGGGTGCCCCTGGTGTGTTGCAGCCCCGGGCCCCCCCCAGGCCAGGCTTCCGGTATATGAGACATGCTTGAACACCAGAGTGGTCTTGAAATGACTTCGACATGCGCCCGTGGGGACGCGCTCGTGTGGTCCGCATTGCATCATTTGACAGAGTTGGCGGGTGCGCGATGACTGTGAAATGATTTTGGCATGCGTTCGCGGGGATGCATGCGCGTGGCCCGCATGGTGATATCTAACAGAGTCGGCGGAGGTGCGCGATGACTGTTGAATGGTTTCGACATGCGCACGCGCGTTGCCCGCATCGTCTCACTTGACAGAGTGGCAAAGCAAACGCGATGATGTCTTATCATTTCAGCTAGTGCGCGCGCATTGGTTTTGAAAATGAAAGGTGGCGGATGGTTGTTGGCTGTAAAAGTATGTGTGCACCATTGCTTCTGGCAAGACGTTGACATGTGCGTGCGCGTGGCCCACATGGTGCCACTCGATATGGGTTAGCTGACACTGCACTTGCGAAATCCGCCGACCCCTCGTGGGTCTCTAGGCGTGTGAGATTCTCCCCCCCCCTAATCCCCCCCCCCAGGGACACCCACACCGGCAATTCGACCCCCCCCCCTGGCCAGGGATGACCCCGGACCGACCGCGTCATGGGGAAGCGGAGGGCTCCAAAACGGACCGAGAAGGCACCAAAACGCTCCCCAGACGGTCCCAGAGTCCCAGAGGGCAACGAGTCGCCGAAATATCTCTCCTTGACGCCCACGATGGCCTCCAGACGGCCTCCGAAGCTGCCAAGACGCTCCCAAAGGCCCCCAAGATGCATCCCAAGAGGGTCCCAAGAAACAAAAACCGTCCCATTCCATTTGAAAAAACAGCATTTTTCGCATACTCGCCTTTTCGGCCTTCACAACGTCCAAGACGGGCACAGAAACCTTCAATATCGCCCCCGGACGGCCGAAGGGGTCCCCAAGAGGGGTCGAAGAGGGTCCAAAACAGCCCACGAAGCCCCCAAGACAGCCCAAGAGGGCCCCCAGACGGCTCCAAGAGGGAGTCCAGGGGGCACCTTTTCGAGCCTTCGGCCCCAAGACGTCCCCAGCCTGACCCAAGAACACCCCAAGAGGCCTTGAGGGACCCCCAAGAGAACCTCAAAAGACTCCAAGAAGCCCCCAGGAAGCCCCCAAGAGGCCCCCGAGAGCCCCCAAGGAAGCCCAGACGCGATGAAAATCTCAGGGGTGCGCCCTCAGGAGCTAAGGGGACGTGTGCGACGATGTTCGGCCCTTTGGGCCCTCGACAAGCCCCAGGACCGTCAAACAACACTCAACATCCTAACCAGGCCCTACGAAAAATCCGCCATCGTGCCTGCACGACGTGGGCGTGTTAGAATGCCAAGTGCTGCTCTGTAGCGCGTTCTAATTCGGACCCCTTCCCCACCCCTGCTACCAGACTAGCCCATGCCATGCCCCCTGTCCCCGAGGCCACGAGCCCTCGCATTTTGTGAACATGGGAGCCGCACTCCCGAGGCCACGGTCCCTCGTTGGAAGTTTGCGCGTCCGCGTCCCGAGCTTCCAAGACAGCCCAGGCAGGCAACCAAGGCAACCAAGATGGCCCAAGCCTCGAGGCGGCCGGATGTGGCCTGCAGACAGGCCAAGATGCCACCAAAAGGGCACAGAAGAGCACCAAGAGGTACGATAACAGCAACGAAGCAACAAAAACGATGTCGAGCGCCGTGTCATGATTCCGACAAGCCTCGTGAAATGCAGTCCAGGAGGCGCAGTAGTTTATGTAGGGGTCGGCGGATGTGGCGCAAGCCTATATAATCAAAGCGAGTGCTCCGAATCTCGTTATTTTACCGGGAGGAGGGAGGTGTCCGCGAGCTGACTGGCGGGAACTACTCTGCAAGATTGACATCGGCACGAACAACACGGACGGACACATTATATGCGGAGGGGGGCGCCAGCCGCGGCCTCCAGGCAGGGGATAGATCCGATTCCTCGTAGGAGAGAAGGTAAACAGCGTGATCCAGCGTGGTGTATCATATTTGTGTGGTGAATTATTCGTTTTAGGTGGCGCAATCTGCAAACTATGTAGTGCCAGCTACATACTGTAGGCTGGCCTCTGCAGTACTTGTGGCAGAATATATGTGGCTCGAATTATGTCGTGCAGTCTCTGTGGTGTAATCTTCGCGTGCAAGTGATGGGCAGCAGATAACCCCACTAGCCCTCTGGGCGGAGGTGGTCTAGGGCATCTCCTCTCCCATCTTCTGAATCAAACCCTTCTCCCTACCCTCTCCCCTGGAGTCTGCCCCCCCCCCCCCCTCCAACAGACCCTCCCCCCCCCCTCCACGCCCCTCTCCACTCTCTCCTCCATGCCCCCCTCCACGCCCCCTGGGGCCTGTCGGGGCCCTCTTGAAGACCTCTTGGGACCCTCTTGGGCCGTCTCGGAAACCTCTTGGGCCACCTTGGGGCGATCTTGGACGTCCTCGGGCGCCCTTGAGCCGTCTCGGGACCACCGTCTTGAGGCCCTCGCGGGCCCCCTGGGCTGTCGCGGGACCCTCTTTCTCTCATGCTTTTCCAAGACGGCTCCGCTCGACACGCCATCCTTGCAACACGCAAGAGGCAATACGCCAGTGCGGCTCCATCCCCGCCCAGCATGCGGTAGGAGCGCACTCGCTGCGGTGTCCACCGGCGGGTGGCCACCAAACAGAAAAAAGCCTGCGGGCCAGATGTTCTCCTGCATTGGCACTGCAGCGCGAGTCGCGAGCAACTGACAAACCAGAATTACTGCTCCCGAGCCGCGCCCCAGCCGCCGCAGGCGTCAGGATGGGGAAGAGAAGGCACGTTCTGGCTATGCCCGAGGGGCCGAGCTACACACCCAACAACGCGAGCACACCCCGGATCAGGCACCGCAGCCCCTGACCATGGGGAAGGGAAGGAGAGGGGCACAGGAAGGAGGGGGGAATAGCCCCGAGGCTCAGTGAACTTGACTGGCGCCCACGAGCGCGGAAAACAAAAACAGCACTGTCGCGAGCAGATCGAAAATGCACCATCGTCGGCTGGCAGAGGATGAGGCTACGCATCCTCGAACGACGCTGCGACGCTCCCATGGACTCCTCGCCGTGCCGACACGGCAGAGAAGGAGCCATCCGCTCTCTGGGAGGTCGGTGTAAAGAACATCGCCTATCGAAGCTATCGACGTCAAGACTAACTATCGAGGTTAATCGAAGTTAAAGCTGATGAAGTCTTTTGACAGAGCTATCGAAGCCGTGTGCGGCTGGTTCGTCCACTAAGCCGGCGCGGAAAACGGCAAACACCAGAGCGTCCTGTGCTGACGGACTTGCTAAATCAGGAAGGCTGGCTCGTCGGGCGCTGGGGCCTCCTCCAGAAGGCGGCGATCTGGCTCGCACAACCTCCAACCGCGCCTCGTCACGGAGAAGTCGGATGACCAGAAGATACTGGATGACGGTGTGAACCCAGACGGACGGCGGCGCCTGCCGCTAAAGGTCTTCCAGCCGTCGATGAGGAGGTAGTCGAAGTACGACTCCACATTGAAGTACTCCACAACTATCGGTGCTGCGTTCGCCGCGTTGATCTCGATCGTGCAAGCCTGGCTGTTGCTGTAGTACTGAGGATAGTTCGGGCTCTGCACACAGGCGCCGTCCAACGTGCACGGTCCTGAGATGGCCCCCCACATGCTCGCAGAACCGGGCGTCGGCGCAGCGGTTGGCGAAGGAGTGGGCGCAAGAGTCGGCGCAGCTGTCGGTGCGGGAGTCGGCGCAGAGGTCGGTGCAGGCGTTGGTGCTGTTGTCGGAGGGGGTGCAGGTGTTGACACTGGTACGCAAAATTTCCATCCACTCCTCGTAACGCTGAAATCGGACGACCACACGATACTGGATGACGGTGTGAATCCAGACGGACCCGAACTTCCGCTGTAATATTTCCATCCGTCGATAACGATGTAGTCGAAGTACCATTCTACATTGAAAGCCTCCACGACGATCGGTGCTGCGTTCTCCGCGTCGATCTCAATCGTGCACGCCTCGTTGTTATTGTAAGCCTGCGGATAGTTCGCGCTCTGCACACAGGCGCCGTCCAACGTGCACGGGCCCGAAATGGCCGCCCACATGTGCACAGAACTGGGCGTCGGCGCAGCGGTCGGCGAAGAAGTCGGCGCAAGAGTCGGCGCAGCTGTTGGTGCAGCCGTTGGGGAAGCGGTCGGTGCCTCCGTCGGTGCAGTCGTCGGTGCTGCTGTCGGGGAAGCGGTCGGTGCTGCTGTCGGCCCGGCTGTCGGTGCAGCTGATGGGGAAAAGGTCGGTGCCTCCGTCGGTGCTGCTGTCGGCACGGCTGTCGGTGCAACTGATGGGGAAGCGGTCGGCGCCGCCGTCGGTGCTGCAGTCGGCGCGGCTGTCGGTGCAACTGTTGGGGAAGCGGTCGGTGCTTCCGTGGGTACTGCAGTCGGCACACCCGGCTCAACAGTCGGCGCCTCCGTCGGCACAGCAGTCGGTGCTGCTGTTGGGGAAGCGGTCGGCGTTGCTGTCGGCACGGCTGTCGGTGCTGCCGTTGGGGACGCGGTCGGTGCCTCCGTCGGTGCTGCACTCGGCACAGCTGTCGGAGCGGCCGTTGGGGAAGCGGTCGGTGCAGCTGTCGGTGCTGCGCTCGGCGCAGCTGTCGGTGCAGCCGTTGGGGAAGCGGTCGGTGCAGCTGTAGGTGCTGCACTCGGCGCGGCTGTCGGTGCATCTGTAGGGGATGCGGTTGGCGCCATCGTTGGCGCTGCCGTCGGCACAGCAGTCGGTGCTGCTGTTGGGGAAACGGTCGGCGCAGCTGTCGGCGCAGCCGTCGGTGCGGGCGATGGCGTCGGGGGCACCGTCCAGTCCCCCATCACCCCGTCCATCCACTCGCGTCCATAAGTGATCCGACTCCAAACTCCAGGGAAATTTTCCACGCCACAAGAAGCGGCTCCCCACGACACGACGCCGTGAAGGAAGTAGCTGCCGCCTGATTCGCAGACAATCGGCCCTCCGCTGTCTCCCTGACAGATATCGGTTACCTCCCCAGCGTTTGAGCCCTGCGCGCACAGCATGTCATCGGTGATCGTCATCCCTGAGAGGCCCCAGTAAGACTGGCAGTCTGCATTGGTCCAGGTGGTGACAGCGCCCTCCTGCAGCACGTCAGGGATGCTGCCTCCGGCGACCTTCCCCCACCCAGTGGCCCAGCACTCTTCACCAGCACCGATGTCCTCCGACGGCAGGCAGGCAAGGCCGATGTTGTCGCTCAAGGGCGCCGCCTCGGCCAACTCCAGGAGGACAAAATCGTAGCCCTGATCCCAATAGACGTAGTTTGGATGAGTGTGCATCTGCTGCACCTCCAGTCGCACCCCCACCGAATCCGACTGGGACAATTGGTGAAGGCCCGCCACGACCCAGAACGAGGAACGAGGAAAGCAATGGGCAGCCGTCAAGACCCAGTTCGGGGCGATGAGCGTTCCTCCGCAGAAGTGCCCACTAGAGGTCTGGAGGGAGACCTGCCACGGCCACTCTCCACTTGTGGCTTGCTGCCCCCCCACGATGCGCTGGCTGCGCGATGTCCAGGGAGTGCTGTCGGCACCCTTCGCACCACAAGTCGATGCCGCACCGAGCTGAGCCATCGCTATGCAAGTGAATGCCGCGGAGGCCACTTTCATTGTGCCGCCAGGTGTAATCTGCCGGCGGTACCGGTGTAAACCTTCCGCGGAGCTCGCCTGAGCCAGCGCGCCGAATGGAGAGATGTTGCTTGAGCCACAGCGGTTCCAAATCTTTCAGGTGGACCCTCTTGGAGCTTCTTCATGCTCCGGGGAGGCCCCAGAAACGGGCTTACTCTGGGTGCCCCTGGTGTGCTGCAGCCCCAGGCCCCCCCAGGCCAGGCTTCCGGTACATGAGACATGCTTGAACACCAGAGTGGCCTTGAAATGACTTCGACATGCGCCCGTGGGGACGCGCGCGTGTGGTCCGCATTGCATCAGTTGGTAGAGTTGGCCGGTGCGCGATGACTGTGAAATGATTTTGGCATGCGTGCGCGGGGATGCATGCGCGTGGCCCGCATGGTGCTATCTAACAGAGTCGGCGGGGGTGCGCGATGACTGTTGAATGGTTTCGACATGCGCACGCGCGTTGCCCGCATCGTCTCACTTGACAGAGTGGCAAAGCAAACGCGATGATGTCTTATCATTTCAGCTAGTGCGCGCGCATTGGTTTTGAAAATGAAAGGTGGCGGATGGTTGTTGGTTGTGAAAGTATGTGTGCACCATTGCTTCTGGCAAGACGTTGACATGTGCGTGCGCGTGGCCCACATGGTGCCACTCGATATGGGTTAGCTGACACTGCACTTGCGAAATCCGCCGACCCCTCGTGGGTCTCTAGGCGTGTGAGATTCTCCCCCTCCCTAATCCCCCCCCACAGGGACACCCACACCGGCAATTCGACCCCCCCCCTGGCCAGGGACGACCCCGGACCGAACGCGTCATGGGGAAGCGGAGGGCTCCAAAACGGGCTAAGAAGGCACCAAAACGCTCCCCAGACGGTCCCAGAGGGCAGCGAGTCGCCGAAATATCTCTCCTTGACGCCCACGATGGCCTCCAGACGGCCTCCGAAGCTGCCAAGACGCCCCAAAAGGCCCCCAAGATGCATCCCAAGAGGGTCCCAAAAAACAAAAATCGTCCCATTCCCTTTGAAACAAATTATAGCCGGAGTGCAGTATCCCCAAACAGAGTTTTTGATTAGCCTCACTGCGGTTTCCAAGGTCGATTGCGTGCCCGTCCAGTGCGGGCTGGCATGGCATGTTAAAACATGCCTCCTCCTCCTCCTCCTCCTCCTCCTCCTCCTCCACCTCCTCTTCATCCCGAACGGCATCTCGGAGCCCAGAGTTGCGAGGATGTCTCCAGCGTAACGGGCTGGACCACCTCGCGCGCGGCATTTCGGACCCCAGAGTTGCGACGATGTCTCCGGCGAAACGTGCTGCGAGGAAGTCTCAGGCGAAACGGGCCGGACCACCTCGAGCGCGGCGTCTCAGAGCTCCGAGTTGCGGGGGCCTCCTGGGCCTCCTGGGACCTCCCGGTGACCTCCTGGGGCTTCCTCCTGGGCCTCCTGTGGCCTCCTGGACCCCACCTGGGGCTTCCTGAAGCCTCTTGGGGCTCCCAGGGGGGGATCGCTAACATGTGGCCGTCGGGGCCCGCCAAAATGGGGGGGGGGGGCACAAGAGCAGGAAAAATCAACGAATCGACACCGGATGTTTATGAACTTGACACGTTCTGATAGGGGGCCTCCTGGGGCCTCCTGGGAGCCTCCTGGGAATCTCCTGCGGACCCCTGGGGCCTGTCCTGGGCGTCCTGCGGCATCCTGGAGCTCTCTGGGGCCTCCTGGGGCTCCCAGGGGGGATATGTAACATGTGGTCTTCTGGGCCCCCAGGCTGGACCACCTCTTGCGCAGCATCTGGGAGCTCAGAGTTGCGAGAATGTCTTGTGCGAAACGGGCCGGACCACCTTGCGCACGGCATCTCAGAGCTCAGAGTTGCAAGGATGTCTCAGGCGAGACGGGCAGGTGTCTCGGGCGAAACGTGCTGCGAGGAAGTCTCATTGTGCGAAACGGGCCGGACCACCTTGCGCACGGCATCTCAGAGCTCAGAGTTGCGAGGATGTCTCAGGCGAGACGGGCCGGTGTCTCGGGCGAAACGTGCTGCAAGGAAGTCTCAGGCGAAACGGGCCGGACCACCTCGAGCGCGGCGTCTCAGAGCTCCGAGTTGCGGGGGCCTCCTGGTGCCTCCTGGGG